GTTGCATGTATGGATTATATTCTGTATGTTGATTCTAAAGCATTCATACCTCAACATTATAAAATGTACAGTTTGAATAATAAAAAATCTGTCATTGTAATATTTTCATGTGGATTTTGCTGGACTATGTAGGTTTAAATGTACAGATTTCTAAGTTGTTATTTTTATTAGCTAGAGTCCATGACATAAAATTGATTATAATGCATAGACCATCATTCATAGGTAAAGGTGTAATTTTCATATTAAAAGTAGCAGATTATAAGAAACATTAAAACAAGACTACATATTCTTTTTTATAACAGCAAAATATTCATAATGTTCAGTTTTACTCAGAAAGCAGTGAATGACAACTTTCAGAAGGTTGTTTTTAATGTTGAAATTAAATATATTTAATGCTGTTCAGGAGTGGATAGTGCTTATTCTCAATACCATAAAAAAATAAAACAAGTGTATTTTAAGAATATTTTATATTTATGTATTAAATCATTGTATTACACTGAATTTTCATTCTGTTTGTTTCAGATTCTCAAAAATCTATTGTTTCTCTTCAAAATCAGTTGGGAACAGAAAAGGTAGGAAAATTGAAACATAATTTGTATAAACTCTTCCTTTTCATTTTTGTGTTTAAACTACTTTAGTGTAAGTTCTCAGTTAACATCATGAAATGAAAACAAGGATTAGATGTTTCATGGCAGAAATTCAGTGTGGGGTATCTTGATGTTTCCCTGAAAACTGAATGCTGTTGTGAATATTTATTTGTGTGTTTATATGCCACATGATACTTTATAAGATGGTAGTGCTAAAATTACTTTAAATTCCGATATGATACCTTACCTACTCTCACATAATAGTTTTCCTTGATTTGTGCTGCCTTCTGTATGCATAATTTTTGATTGCTGCCAACCTTGAGGTGCCTACCTAACATCAAGTGTTTACACATGGTATAACTGCATTGTAGCATGAAAATGAGCATTTGACAACCCTCCATTAGTCCATTTATACAGTAGAGCACAATCATCACTTCTCGTGTGCAATAACGTATTTTTTTTGCTTGTGAATTTTTCAGGTATAGTTGTTTTTCAGTGGAAATATCTATAAATACTTTATTTCACAAGTGTCAGTAACTTCAACTTTGTCTGGTGTGAAACATCACTATTTTGTTCATGCTAGCCTACCAACTACATTGATATTGGATTTGTTTTTGTCTGTTGGGAGAGGTGACAACATTTGTAAGGGAGGTAGTGGAGTCTTTCATGCAGACTGGGCCTTCTTTTGTCCCTTACATTCCTCCGCCTATGTTTCTCATTCATGACGGAAGAGAGTTTGCCATTTTGTTTCCCAACTATACTTGCCTCACCTTATACCATATTGTCTTGATTCTACCTCATCCATTTTTTTTCGGGATTTCATGACTAGGTTTCTCAGTTATGTTTCTTACATATTCAATTATTTTTACTAGTACTTTGGAGCTATACTTGCTTCATCCTCCTTCATTTCTTGCCTCATATGATTAGGCATGACTGCATGCTGTATTGCTTTTCTTTGACTCCTAAACTATGGAGTTCTTCTTCAGATTTGGTGGTCAGATCCTCTGTCTTTCGTTTGTCCTTTTAGTCTTAGGTTTTCCTACCTTCATCTTATACACACTACCATTTTCTGTTATTTTTCCTTCTTTCTGTGCTAATCCACCCTGTGGGGTTTTCAATGGATGCTCATTCACTTATTTTTTCTACAGTGGCATGTTTATTTTCCCGAGCATTTTCACTTCTTATTTGGTTGATCTTTTGCTAGAGTTGTTTAGGGTATCATGTTCTTGTTATTCAATTGCTTTTGTCTCCCTTATATCTCGTATGCTTTTTTCTGGCTTCTTTCATCTGCCTTTATGATTTTACTGGTATGCTTGTATCTCTGGTTTCATTAGTTGGGGCTGCACACCAATGTTATGCTTTATCCTCACTGGTTTACCATCTCTTCTGTGCTCCTCCTTTGACTCTCTGTGTCCTGTCCTCCTACTTCCTCTTAACTCTCTCTCTCTGTCTCTACTTCCCATCCATCCTTCCACTTGTAGACTTCAGTGCTGTCTGGCTTAGCAGTAACTGTTTTATAGGCTCAGTGTCAGTAGGCCAGTTTCATTTGGTTTATGGACCTTTGTCCTCTGTTTTTGGCCAATTGTTGAGTACTTGGATTTCTATCAAACAGCCTTAACCTTCGTTTTTTCCTCTCCTCCTTCAATGTCTCATGTTCCCATTATTTTATATCTTCCAAGGGATCTTGTTTCTTGCCAACATTGGTTCATGGCAGTGTTGGTCCTAATGGCTACAATCACATTTAGATGAGTTTCTTATTCTTTTTCAAGTTTTTCTTTCCATCTTTTCTTGGTTCCCAGAGAATCTGTAGATACGTGTCGAGTCTTACATTATTCATGTCTCAGTTTCTTGTCTTCCTTAGCTTTTCCTTGGAGAATTTCTCATCTTACAGTGGTCTTTTGCCTCAGGTCTTGAAATGACCAAGGTGGACATCTCAAATGCTTCTTTTCTCATTTGTCTCTATCCCAACAAGCCTCCTACAGCCACACTCTTCTCCTCCTTTGAGACAATGTATCTGGGTTGATTGGTTCATCTTGGAGGAGTCACATCTCACTCCCTAACACCCATTTCGTTTCTCATTC